GGTTGCCCCAACGGCGCGCGCTGGCACTGGCGCGAGTTCGCGCTGACTCGGCTGACCCTGCGCCGTCTCGCGAGGGCGCCCGTGACACAGCGCCCATCGCCGCTGGTCTCGCCTGAGGGGTTGTCCCGACGGTATTGATTTTGCACTTTGTCTCTCCCTTCTGTCGCCGCCCTCGCGCTTTCTCCCGCAGGCCCGACGGGTTGTCCTGACGGCATCCTGCGCGCGGCGCCCGTCCGGGCGGGGGCAGACGGCGGAGCTACCGACCACTTCAAAAATGACAGGGCCTGCGCGCCAGCATTCTCCCTTCCGCTTTCGCCTCCGTCGTCGATCTCCATCCCGGATTGCCTGCGATGCCCGGGCCGTCGAAAATATCGTGCCCATCCGCTGCCTCTCACTGCCGGCAGGGAGCAGCACAGCTGACAGTAGCAGCCAAAATCTGAGACCACCCGTGGCCAGCAGAGAGCACAACAGAGCACCGGAGAGCAGCAGACAATAACTGAGACCAGCATAGCATCAGCAGCAGAGACTCACATGCAGCAGCAGAGAGCAGCAGAGACCAAGAGAGAGCAGGATGCATTAGCAGAGACCAGCAGAAACCACCACGGAGCGGCAAAAGGCATGAAAGTGCAGTTGAGAGCAGCGGTAAGCAGGATGGAGCGGGAGAGACCAGCTGAGACCACCATACCCCGAGGTGACCAGCTGAGACCAGCTGACACCGTAGCGATTGAGGCTCAGTCCGCATTGGCTTTGCTTCCTGTTGCCAACGCTGCGTGCTTCACTCGCCGTTGCAAACCGCATATCCCGACATTTCATCATGCCGCCCAAGAAGACGGAGGCGGCCTTGCTCGCAGACGTCGCAGAGCATCGTCGGTGGGCGACTGCCAAGTTGACGGCCCTGAGAGCACGGGCTGGCATCTGTTGAGGCGAAGTTCAGCAGAAGGGCGGGGCTCGAGAACAGCGGTATTTTCAAGTGGTACGTAAGCACGCGGGCGTCGCATCTGATCATCGACAGTTGCCGCGCCCTGTCGGAGAGGACGCACGGTCAAATGACTCCCGCCCGGCAGCGGTCGGTCGTGTGCCCCGACAGGCGCGACACGACGCCCCGCCGGCAAAGCAGAGGCGCCTGACCGAGAGGGGTGGCGAGGCTGCTGCCTGCGCGGCGCCGTTGCAGGGCGAGTCACGGCCTGGCCAGTCGACGCCGGCAGCTCGAGGGGTTGCCCCGACGGCTTGCTCGGCTGGACACGGCCCGGCGGCTGCAGCAGCGGCCAAGGCGTCTCCCGCTTCAACGCCGCCCATCGGCATCGAAGAGACCCCGGCGAAGAGGCCTCGCCTGTTCGCCGACGGGCTCGGTGCGACGCCCGCGCAGACCACCGGCGGCCTGACGCCTGCCACCGCGGAGGCCTTGGCAAGGTCGTGCCGCAAGAGCCCGTGGGAGTCCCCGTTGGTCGACGATTCCGTGAGGCTTGCTCACCCAGGGAATCCCGCGAGAGGTGCCTCGCGGCCCGTCGAGCGGCCGCGCTTGCGCCCGCGGGACGAGGAGCGCCTCCTGGCGGCAGTGCCGCGGAAAGCTGTGAAAGATCGTACCGTGCACGTCGCGATGAGGTCTTGCGCCTAGCAACGGGAGTACCTCCAACAATGGCGCGAGAAACAAGGCAAAAGTATCGACAGCTGAAACTACGTGTGGAAATTTAGCACCAGCACGGCGAGCTCCAGGCGGCGAGTACGCTCTGTTGGCGCACCAGCCTCCCATTATGGCCCAGAGCTCTCTTCGTGCGCAGTGGAGAAAGGTGGCAGTGCCCCGCCGCCGTGATTCCCCTGAGCAGCAGCGCCTGGCGGGGACTTCAAGCGGCAGGAGTTTGACGTGGAAGGACCGCAGGTGAAGGAAACTCGGGCGACGCGGCGCGAGAACTGCCGGGCTCTGATGGCGCGGCTGACCCGAGTTGGCATTCACCCAGGCCACTCGCGAGCAACACCTCCGCGCCCAGCTGCGCGACGACGACCGGCAGCAGCAGATGCGCGGCCTGCTCGCTCAGCCTGGCATGCGGTTCGCCAGAGCGGCCGTGCTGGGAGCAGCCGCGTCAGCGCCCCGAGACGGCCGCGCGGGCGCCGCTGGCTTCCCCAACCTGACAAACACGTGCTATATCAATGCCGTGGTGCAGTGCTTGTACCACACGCACCCCTTCCGCGCAGACATCGAGGGCATGCAGCCGGGCGCCAGCAACATGGGGGACCGCCTGCGGGACTTGTTCTGTGCGCGCAGCTTCCCTGCTTCCACGGCCGGCGACATTCGCCCGCCGTTGGTGGCCCTTGTCCGCCAGATCTTGCAGCAGCCGCCAGGCTTTGAGTCCGGTCGCCAACAGGACGCGGCGGAGTGCCTGATGCGCGTCCTCGAGCACGCGGACCTCGGAGGAGTGCGGCGCCGCGTCTGCGGGGACGGCGCAGCCGCGAGCGTCGAGGGCATGGTGCACTGCTGCGCGGCCGAGGAGGCCCAGGTGGGTCGCGATGCGCCGCCTGTGCCCATGGCCGCCATGATCCAGGCGTCCCTCCCGGGCGAGCAGGCCGTCCGTGAGGCTTCGGAGGCAGTGGTCCTCCGCGTGGAGAGCATGTACGAACAGGATGGCAGACAGTTCGCGGTGGACGCGCGGGCGGACTGGCGGGACACTGTCTTCCCCGTCAGCATTCTCAACGGAGACGCCGGTTCTTACGAGGTGGCGGCCTTCGCGCAGCACCGCGCCGCGCGCGGCGTACCACCTCTGCAGCGGATGCGCGGCGGCCACTACGTCGCCTACGTCAACAAGGGCGGGCGCTGGTTCGAGCTCGACGATGCCGTCGTGACGGAGCTGCCTGAGCCGCCTGACGCGTATCCGTACTTGGTCTTCCTGGCCCGCGCGAGGCCCAGACGGTCGATTCCGATGGGCGGGAAGCGGCGCGACCCTCGTGGGCCTGACGACGCTCTGGAGGCTGCTGCCAGGCTGTCGCGAGTGATGCCTGCGGCGTCGGGAGGGGCCGCTGCTGGCTTAGCATCCGGATCGGGCAGCGGCAGCCGCGGCTTGCCACAGGCTGCAGGCTCAGCGGCTGGTCAAGGCCGGACAGGCAGGGACTGGAGTGGCAGAGACCAGTCTGGTAGAGACGAGACGGGAAAGACCAGACTGGTAGGAACCGCAGCGGTCAGCCAAGGGGCATTGCTGGAGTGCACCCAGCTGCCAGGGCCGTCTGGAACGCTTCAGCTGCCGCGGACAACAGAGACCACACCCGGGCAGACCCCGAGAACAGCGCGGACAACCCTTTCAAGCGGTACGTGGATAACTGGGATCTGCGACGCACCAGCGCAGATGTGAAATGCCGCACCTGGTCGCAGAGGGCCGAGCCGTCGGGCCCCCAGCCGTGCCGGCTCTGCCAGGGCCGAGACTTCGCGTTCCGCGAAGATTGGAAGAAGCACGTGGACGACGAGCACGGCGGCGTCCAGCGCTACCGCAACGCTCTCTTCTCGTCGCTGTCGCTGAAGCCCTATGTTGTCAAGGGAGAGGAGTTGCGCGCGATCGTGGCCAATTATGCGGAGTTCTACGCCAGGGCCGCCGTGGACTGGGAGAAGCCGACTGAGCGCATGCGTGAGCTCGCTCAGACTCCCGAGGGGTTGTCTGCAGATGAGCGCTGGGCGCCCCGGACCCGCTGTGCGTGCGTCTTCTGCGCCAGGCTGCACTGGTCCGAGGACCTCTCCTTGGAGTTCCTAGCAGGCAAGGACTGCTTCATGAAGAACCCCGAGGCCGTGGCCAAGCTGTTGTCTTGGGAGGTTTACCACAAGCACTGGCCCGACATCCCCGAGGCCGAGCTCCGCGCCTCCGCCGTGCGTCTGCGCATTGGGAACACGGACACATTCCAACTTGTCCTCATGCACAAGCGGCGGGTGACGGATGCGCAGGCGTTGGGCGACGAGCGGGCCCCGGTGTGCGAGGATTGCCTGTACGCGTTCTTTCCCCGCCACCCGCGCATGTGCAAGTTCACCTTCGCTAACCACTTGTGGCTCGGCAGGAATGACCCGCTCTTCCGCAATGCCAACTTGTCGCACCAGATGCTCCTCGCACTCGCCCGCGTCGTGACGACCAAGGTGGTGCTGCGCCCCGAGAGCTACGACAAGCAGCGCAGCGGCGACGGGCCCACGTGGGACTTCCTCTTCCACCAGACGGGCATGGTGGGCTCCGCAATCCTCTTCGGGAACGCGTCGTGCAAGGAGGCCATGGAGCGTTTCCTTCCGGCTTCCATCAAGGACGCCTTCGCGGTGACTTTCCTGGCAGCCAAGCAGGACGCGGCGAAAGAGCAGCCGCCAGACGGCTCGGAGAATGCAGCGGGACAGTGGCGCCGCGAGGGTCTGGCTGGCGACGCCGCCAGGCAGCAGGACGCCGCCCGGCGCGCCGTCCGGGGCATCGCGCGCCTCAAGGTGAACCGCGCAGAGTTTGACTCGCAGGCGCAAGCGCTGCAGTCCACGAACGTCGTCTACAAAGACAAGGATTACGACGAGGCGCTGGTTGCCCAGTGGTGCCCCAACCCGCTGATTCCTGAGGTGCCCCCGGTGGTGTTGGACAGCGTCGTGGCCGTGCCGTTGGAGGATTCGCCCGGCGCCGTCGTGGCCGCGGGACCAGCCGACGCCACGGCGGCCGGGGCGCAGGATATGGAAGACGCAGACGTTCAGGCGTGCAAGGAATCCCGGTACGTGAGCGCGTTCAGCGAGGAGGACATCCCGGGCGCGGCCGCCTCGGCGGGGGCCTTGGAGGTGACGGCGCTGATCAAGCAGCTGGAGGAGCTGGACGCGACAGCGCAGCGCTCCGTGGCCAAGGAGACAGAGCACGCCATCGAGTCAGGCAGCGCGCTGCTGGACGAGGCGGGCAGGGAGCGAGTCTTGCAGCTCTGCGAGTCCGTTCGAAACCGCGCTGCTCGGTTGTCGCGCCCGGAGCGGGAGCTGCGGCTGCAGGAGGACCTCGCGCGCGCCGCGCTGGGCGAACCGGTCAGGCCTCGACAGGCGGGGGGGGCCGAGGCGACCATGGCGAACCTCGAGGTGACGCGCGGCACGGCGCCCCTGTCGCTGTTCGATTGGAAGGTGTGGACGCAGGCGCGCCCGAGCCTGTGGCCCGACGCATCTCTGGCCCGCTCTTCCAGTAGCATCGGCGGTACGATGCGGACAGATTCTTCACCAGATCCAGCGTCTCCCCGAACTTGGACTTACCCCCGAGCGCTCTCCGGTCGGCGGCGGACAGAGTCTTCTCGGGGTCGTCTCCTCGCTGCTGCAGCTCCAGCTTCATCTTGTCCTGCTGCGCCTGTCGCTGCGCCTGCAGCCGCTCCAGGCCGCGCCGCATCTCCACGAGGACGCCCTCCATGCTGGGGCACTGCTTCGTCGTGTAGGAGTTGATGTAGAAGCCCGTGTTCAGGCCGTCGCTGAACGCTGCCTGGGCATCCAGTTCCAGCTGGTCCGCGAAGGTGTCCGCGGCGTCCGCGTCATCCGCGTCCTCGCCCTCCGCGTCCTCCGTCTGGCACTGCAGCATAATGTCGCGCCACTCCTCCGGCGAGCAGTCGTCCGTCCACGCGAGCGGCTTCTCCGGAACCTCCGGGCGGTTGACGTAAGCGTCGGCATCGCCCAGCTCGTACGTGCCCATGTACCCCAGCTTGGGTTGCGAGCCGACGTGCGGGAGCACCTCGCCCTCGTCCAACCACGCTTTGGGGTCGCTGACTCGTCGGAGGTCCTGCGCATCCAGGTTGAAGCGTCCAGCCGCGGCGCCGGCGTAGTTGGTAATGCACTCAGACGGGTGGAGCTGGAAGTGCAACAGACGACCCTGCATGCCGTGCGTCGAGGATCGCACCACGAACATGGCGTTCCGCAGAGGCTTCCCTCGCCTGCGCCTGCGCCAATCCGCAAGCGTGACGATGTAGTAGAAGCCGTGGCGGCAGATCTTCGTGGTCTTGTTGCCCGAGTACTTGTAGCAGCTCTCTCCGCACACGTGCGTCATCGTCTCCTTGGCGAGCTCCCGGACGTCCCTCGAGAAGAGGCGCTCCCAGACCTCACGATTCTCTTCCGTTCCTGGCGGGGGCGGCGGCGGGGGCGGCGCCTCCTCGTCCGCGGCGAGTGTCGTCTGGCCGAGTCCTTGCTGCCCCGACTGAGCCGCGGGCGCGTCCGAGCAGACCGTTGGGACAACCCCGCGGGCCGCCGGCTCGCCCGCGCCGGTGTCTTGCTGCACGAGGCCGCGCCGCCGGTACGCGGGGCATTTCCCCACGGCGAAAGCATCGATGGGCATGCCGTATGAGGACGGCCGCGGCGGTGCCTTCTCCCCCGGCGCCAACTCGCGGCCTGTGGCGTCCCGCAACGGCAGATCGGGCCGGAGCCAGGAGTCCCGGTCCTCGGTCTCCAGGAAGGTCTCCTGGTCCTCGGTCAGCTCCGCGCCCGCCTGCTTCTCTTCGCGGAGCGCGTCCAGCTCGCTGCCCCCGTCGAAGCGCGACTGGTCTCGTTCGATGACAGAGAATGGCAGCGGGTCCACGCGCTGGTCGACGTGCCCGAAACGCCGCGGCAACACCTCTACGGAACTCTGGCAGGTGCTCTCCACGGCCATGACGCACGCCCCCATCCACTTGCCCAGGCGCTCTCGGAAAGCGGCAGGATGGCGTCGGAGCACGTGCACGAGCTGCCGCGTCGAGAGGGCGCACAACCACACCAGGATGTGCGGATGGAGCGATCCCCGACCTTGCGCCTCGATCTCTCCGCGGAAAGCTTGCACGGGCCCAAAGATCCCCGGGGCGGTCGAGGACGCCGCCACGCCGTCGGTGCACCAGTCCCAGGAGCAGCGTTTCCTGGGAGGAACGCCGCGCCGGCGGCCGCCCACGCACTCGGGGCGGACGCCGAGGACGTGGATGAAGAAGAGGCGCATGATGAGCTCGAAGCACACGGTCTGGCCGACCGGGTCCTGGGCGACGCGCCGCATCATGTCTCGGTACTTTGGGATGACGTCGCTGCGCAGGCCTGGAATGCTCCGGTCGTCGAGCGGGATCTCCTGGCCCTCCACCCTGACGAACAGTGGCTGCTTCGTGTCCGCTACGTTCGGGGTGGCGAAGATCAAGGGGCACCCGAAGAGCGCCATGTAGGCAACCCCCTCGTGGCGGCAGAGGCGCCGATGTTCGTCGGTGCCGACAACGTCCGCGACGGCCATCTGCATGATGTTCAGGGCGTCCCGAACCACGTTGGGCACGTTGGCGTTGCTTGCCAAAGCCGCCACGCCGCCGCCACCCGCGTGAGCGCGGGCGGCCGCCGCCAGGGCATCCGGCGTGAGGTGCTGCACTTTCTCGGCCCACTTCATGCCTCCGTTCTTCAGGAAGGCGAAGGCGGACTGGTGGCGCTCCGTCAAGAAGTGCAACGTGGCGAACATGTGCAACGACACCCAGTCCGCCGCGAACCGGTTGACCTCTGGATCGTCGTCGTTCTCCCGCACGCGGTACGGCTTCTCCTCGTCGGTGTCCAGAGTGTACTCCATCTCCTCCCGCATGCACAGGCGCGTGATCCACTCGTGGGCGAGCAACTGCGGGTAGGTCCCCGTTCGTTTCGGGTCCAGGTGACCGGCGTCGCCGTAGCGCCACAGGCTCGGGCGCGCCTGCGTCCGCACCTTCCAATCGAACAGCGACAGGGGCGCCGTGCCGCGCGTCACCTCGAGGTTCGCCATGGTCGCCTCGGCCCCCCCCGCCTGTCGAGGCCTGACCGGTTCGCCCAGCGCGGCGCGCGCGAGGTCCTCCTGCAGCCGCAGCTCCCGCTCCGGGCGCGACAACCGAGCAGCGCGGTTTCGAACGGACTCGCAGAGCTGCAAGACTCGCTCCCTGCCCGCCTCGTCCAGCAGCGCGCTGCCTGACTCGATGGCGTGCTCTGTCTCCTTGGCCACGGAGCGCTGCGCTGTCGCGTCCAGCTCCTCCAGCTGCTTGATCAGCGCCGTCACCTCCAAGGCCCCCGCCGAGGCGGCCGCGCCCGGGATGTCCTCCTCGCTGAACGCGCTCACGTACCGGGATTCCTTGCACGCCTGAACGTCTGCGTCTTCCATATCCTGCGCCCCGGCCGCCGTGGCGTCGGCTGGTCCCGCGGCCACGACGGCGCCGGGCGAATCCTCCAACGGCACGGCCACGACGCTGTCCAACACCACCGGGGGCACCTCAGGAATCAGCGGGTTGGGGCACCACTGGGCAACCAGCGCCTCGTCGTAATCCTTGTCTTTGTAGACGACGCTCGTGGACTGCAGCGCTTGCGCCTGCGAGTCAAACTCGGCGCGGTTCACCTTGAGGCGCGCGATGCCCCGGACGGCGCGCCGGGCGGCGTCCTGCTGCCTGGCGGCGTCGCCAGCCAGACCCTCGCGGCGCCACTGTCCCGCTGCATTCTCCGAGCCGTCTGGCGGCTGCTCTTTCGCCGCGTCCTGCTTGGCTGCCAGGAAAGTCACCGCGAAGGCGTCCTTGATGGAAGCCGGAGGGAAACGCTCCATGGCCTCCTTGCACGACGCGTTCCCGAAGAGGATTGCGGAGCCCACCATGCCCGTCTGGTGGAAGAGGAAGTCCCACGTGGGCCCGTCGCCGCTGCGCTGCTTGTCGTAGCTCTCGGGGCGCAGCACCACCTTGGTCGTCACGACGCGGGCGAGTGCGAGGAGCATCTGGTGCGACAAGTTGGCATTGCGGAAGAGCGGGTCATTCTGCCGAGCCACAAGTGGTTAGCGAAGGTGAACTTGCACATGCGCGGGTGGCGGGGAGAGAACGCGCACAGGCAATCCGACACCGGGGGCCCGCGCTCGTTCCCCACGCCCTGCGCATCTCGTCACCCGCCGCTTGTGCATGAGGACAAGTTGGAATGTGTCGTGTTCCCAATGCGCAGACGCACGGCGGAGGCCGCGGAGCTCGGCCTCGGGGATGTCGGGCCAGTGCTTGTGGTAAACCTCCCAAGACAACAGCTTGGCCACGGCCTCGGGGTTCTTCATGAAGCAGTCCTTGCCTGCTAGGAACTCCAAGGAGAGGTCCTCGGACCAGTGCAGCCTGGCGCAGAAGACGCACGCACAGCGGGTCCGGGGCGCCCAGCGCTCATCTGCAGACAACCCCTCGGGAGTCTGAGCGAGCTCACGCATGCGCTCAGTCGGCTTCTCCCAGTCCACGGCGGCCCTGGCGTAGAACTCCGCATAATTGGCCACGATCGCGCGCCACTCCTCTCCCTTGACAACATAGGGCTTCAGCGACAGCGACGAGAAGAGAGCGTTGCGGTAGCGCTGGACGCCACCGTGCTCGTCGTCCACGTGCTTCTTCCAATCTTCGCGGAACGCGAAGTCTCGGCCCTGGCAGAGCCGGCACGGCTGGGGGCCCGACGGCTCGGCCCTCTGCGACCAGGTGCGGCATTTCACATCTGCGCTGGTGCGTCGCAGATCCCAGTTATCCACGTACCGCTTGAAAGGGTTGTCCGCGCTGTTCTCGGGGTCTGCCCGGGTGTGGTCTCTGTTGTCCGCGGCAGCTGAAGCGTTCCAGACGGCCCTGGCAGCTGGGTGCACTCCAGCAATGCCCCTTGGCTGACCGCTGCGGTTCCTACCAGTCTGGTCCTTTCCAGTCTCGTCTCTACCAGACTGGTCTCTGCCACTCCAGTCCCTGCCTGTCCGGCCTTGACCAGCCGCTGAGCCTGCAGCCTGTGGCAAGCCGCGGCTGCCGCTGCCCGATCCGGATGCTAAGCCAGCAGCGGCCCCTCCCGACGCCGCAGGCATCACTCGCGACAGCCTGGCAGCAGCCTCCAGAGCGTCGTCAGGCCCACGAGGGTCGCGCCGCTTCCCGCCCATCGGAATCGACCGTCTGGGCCTCGCGCGGGCCAGGAAGACCAAGTACGGATACGCGTCAGGCGGCTCAGGCAGCTCCGTCACGACGGCATCGTCGAGCTCGAACCAGCGCCCGCCCTTGTTGACGTAGGCGACGTAGTGGCCGCCGCGCATCCGCTGCAGAGGTGGTACGCCGCGCGCGGCGCGGTGCTGCGCGAAGGCCGCCACCTCGTAAGAAACGGCGTCTCCGTTGAGAATGCTGACGGGGAAGACAGTGTCCCGCCAGTCCGCCCGCGCGTCCACCGCGAACTGTCTGCCATCCTGTTCGTACATGCTCTCCACGCGGAGGACCACTGCCTCCGAAGCCTCACGGACGGCCTGCTCGCCCGTGAGGGACGCCTGGATCATGGCGGCCATGGGCACAGGCGGCGCATCGCGACCCACCTGGGCCTCCTCGGCCGCGCAGCAGTGCACCATGCCCTCGACGCTCGCGGCTGCGCCGTCCCCGCAGACGCGGCGCCGCACTCCTCCGAGGTCCGCGTGCTCGAGGACGCGCATCAGGCACTCCGCCGCGTCCTGTTGGCGACCGGACTCAAAGCCTGGCGGCTGCTGCAAGATCTGGCGGACAAGGGCCACCAACGGCGGGCGAATGTCGCCGGCCGTGGAAGCAGGGGAGCTGCGCGCACAGAACAAGTCCCGCAGGCGGTCCCCCATGTTGCTGGCGCCCGGCTGCATGCCCTCGATGTCTGCGCGGAAGGGGTGCGTGTGGTACAAGCACTGCACCACGGCATTGATGTAGCACGTGTTTGTCAGGTTGGGGAAGCCAGCGGCGCCCGCGCGGCCGTCTCGGGGCGCTGACGCGGCTGCTCCCAGCACGGCCGCTCTGGCGAACCGCATGCCAGGCTGAGCGAGCAGGCCGCGCATCTGCTGCTGCCGGTCGTCGTCGCGCAGCAGGGCGCGGAGGTGTTGCTCGCGAGTGCCTGGGTGATGCCACTCGGGGTACAGCCGCGCCTGCAGCCCGGCCAGGGCTCGCGCCGCGTCGGCCCGAGATTCCACCTGCGGTCCTTCCACGTCAACTCCTGCCGGCTTGAAAGTCCACCGCCAGGCGCTGCTGCTCGAGGGATCACTGCGGCGGGGCACTCCACCTTCTCCACTGCGCCGAAGAGCTCTGGGCCAATAATGTGAGGCTGGTGCGCCAACAGAGCGTACTCGGCCGCCTGGAGCTCGCCGTGCTGGTGCAAATTCCACACGTAGTTCAGCTGTCGATACTTTGGCTTGTTCTCGCGCCATTGTGGGAGGTACTCTCCGTTGCCTAGGCGCAGAGCCTCATCGCGGACGTGCACGTACAGATCTTTCACAGCTTTCCGCGGCACTGCCGCCAGGAGGCGCTCCTCTTCCCGCGGGCGCAAGCGCGGCCGCTCGACGGGCCGCGAGGCACCTCTCGCGGGATTCCCTGGGTGAGCAAGCCTCACGGAATCGTCGACCAACGGGGACTCCCACGGGCTCTTGCGGCACGACCTTGCCAAGGCCTCCGCGGTGGCAGGCGTCAGGCCGCCGGTGGTCTGCGCGGGCGTCGCACCGAGCCCGTCGGCGAACAGGCGAGGCCTCTTCGCCGGGGTCTCTTCGATGCCGATGGGCGGCGTTGAAGCGGGAGACGCCTTGGCCGCTGCTGCAGCCGCCGGGCCGTGTCCAGCCGAGCAAGCCGTCGGGACAACCCCTCGAGCTGCCGGCGTCGACTGGCCAGGCCGTGACTCGCCCTGCAACGGCGCCGCGCAGGCAGCAGCCTCGCCACCCCTCTCGGTCAGGCGCCTCTGCTTTGCCGGCGGGGCGTCGTCGGGGCACGCCGACGCTGCCGGGCCGAGGGAGTCATTGACCAGGGCGTCCAGCTCCGACAGGGCAGCGGCAACTGTCGGATGATCAGATGCGACGCCCGCGTGCTTCACGTACCACTTGTAAATCCGCTGTTCCTCGAGCCCCGCCCTCTGCTGAAGCTTCGCCTTCAAGCCGATGCCGCCCCGTGCTCTCAGGGCCGTCAAATTGGCAGTCGCCCACCGACGATGCTCTGCGACGTCTGCGAGCAAGGCCGCCTCCGTCTTCTTGGGCGGCATGTTGAAATGTCGGGATATGCGGTTTGCAACGGCGAGTGAAGCACGCAGCGTTGGCAACAGGAAGCAAAGCCAATGCGGACTGAGCCTCAATCGCTACGGTGTCAGCTGGTCTCAGCTGGTCACCTCGGGGCATGGTGGTCTCAGCTGGTCTCTCCCGCTCCATCCTGCTTACCGCTGCTCTCAACTGCACTTTCATGCCTTTTGCCGCTCCGTGGTGGTTTCTGCTGGTCTCTGCTAATGCATCCTGCTCTCTCTTGGTCTCTGCTGCTCTCTGCTGCTGCATGTGAGTCTCTGCTGCTGATGCTATGCTGGTCTCAGTTCTTGTCTGCTGCTCTCCGGTGCTCTGTTGTGCTCTCTGCTGGCCACGGGTGGTCTCAGATTTGGGCTGGTACTGTCAGCTGTGCTGCTCCCTGCCGGCAGTGAGAGGCAGCGGATGGGCACGATATTTTCGACGGCCCGGGCATCGCAGGCAATCCGGGATGGAGATCGACGACGGAGGCGAAAGCGGAAGGGAGAATGCTGGCGCGCAGGCCCTGTCATTTTTGAAGTGGTCGGTAGCTCCGCCGTCTGCCCCCGCCCGGACGGGCGCCGCGCGCAGGATGCCGTCAGGACAACCCGTCGGGCCTGCGGGAGAAAGCGCGAGGGCGGCGACAGAAGGGAGAGACAAAGTGCAAAATCAATACCGTCGGGACAACCCCTCAGGCGAGACCAGCGGCGACGGGCGCTGTGTCACGGGCGCCCTCGCGAGACGGCGCAGGGTCAGCCGAGTCAGCGCGAACTCGCGCCAGTGCCAGCGCGCGCCGTTGGGGCAACCCCGCGGGCGCGGCTGGGGCGGCGACAGAAGGGAGAGACAAAGTGTAAAATCAATACTCAATACCGTCGGGACAACCCCTCAGGCGAGACAAGCGGCGATGGGCACTGCGTCGCGGGCGCCCTCGCAAGACGGCGCAGCGTCAGCCGAGTCAGCGCGGGCTCGCGCCAGTGCCAGAGCGCGCCGTTGGGACATCCCCGCAGGCACGGCTGCGGCTCGCGCGCGAGCTCTCACTCCAGTCGGCGACGCGTCGCCAGGGATGATGGCGTTGACGCAGCGTCGGGGGGCGAGAAGGCGAGGTCCCGCATGCGCTTGAGCGGCGTGGCGTCGGGCGCGTGCGCGATGAGCGCCGGGCCGCCGGACCCCTGCGCGCTGGCCATGAGCTTGACCATGCTGGGCAAGAGCTCGGGGACCACGGCCTTGTGCGACAGCACATCGAACGTCCCGCGGCCGGAGCCCTTATCTGTCCGCAGCATGGCAGTCACGAGGTGCGCGTCGCCGTGCCCGGCCGTCAGGAGCCACTGCACGTCGCCGGCGACACCGGCCGTCTTAACGCAATACGTGTCTTCCTTTTCAGACTGGAACCCGCAGCGCGCGAGGCGCTGCACGCGCAGGCCGCGATTCTCTGCGTCGGGTGTGGCCACCGTCTCCGCTTCCGTGGGCCTCTGCATCACCAGCAACACGCGGACCGCCTGGACCTCCAGGTCACGGACGAGCAGCAAGCCGAGCGAGTCGTCCGAGCTGACGTCCGAGCACGCCGCGAACGGGCAGGCGCCGCCCGTCTTCACCGCCGGCGGCGCCGTCACCTCCGACCACGTCGACACGACGCCGTCGGGCGTCAGCGTCGGGACAATCCGCTTCACCTCGAGGTAGTTGACATTGGTGACATCGTTTGTCTTGAACACGCACCGCAGCGTCCACGGCGTCGCCCGAAATGCCGCAGCGCGCACGCGGCGAGCCTGGGCGTCCAGGGGCGTGCCCGAATCGCCGAGCACGTCGAGGGTGGACGCTGCGTCGTGGTACAGGACGGCGGAGCCTCCGCCGGTGTGGTCCGCGATGCCCAGCTTCAGGAGCCACCGCATCTCAGTTCCCGCTTCGGGGTGGCTGCCACACGTGTCCTGGTGGTCGGGAATCTTCTTCTTGCACTCTGCGCAGCTCTTGATCTGCCAGTCGCTGTCGGCGGAAGCACCTGCCACGCCCGTGACGGCGACGCAGTGGAGCTCGAAGACCCCAGGCAGGTCGCGCGTCTGGAAAGGCACGGGCACCGACATGAGGCCACTCACCGTGCTCGCCATGGCGGGCACCGTGTCGTAGTCCACGGCATGGTGCTGCTTGGTGAGGGACGTGGCCGCGTCGGCACCCTCGGAGATGTCAGTCGCGGCGCGAACAGTCTCCGCTTGAGCTGCAGGACAAGTCGTGACCTCCGTGGCCTCCGTGGCGAAGATCTCCCAGGACCCGTTGCGCTGCTTCACATTCACTTGCATCAGCGCGATCACGGAGCCGACGGGGAAGGCGGCCAGAGTCGCGGCATGGTCTCGCCAGAATGCGCAGCGGATGTCGTGGCGCCCCTGCTTGATCACCGCGTTGCAGACGCCTGCTCGGCCGTACTGGGTGTCGCGCTCCACGACGCCCGGCTGGTGAGACACGACGCCGACCGCGCACACCTGCGTTGTATCGGTCACTCTGCCCAAGCTGGCAATCTCCGCGAACGGGTGATGCAGGGGAACGTCCACCCACGGGCTTTCGGTGCACTCCTGGATGACCGTGTTGACTCCCAAGGGCGGCTTTACCCGCAAGAAGTACGACAGCCGAGAAGTGGAGTACTTCGGGGTCTGGTTCACGACGGTCCCGCCGGACACGCGGTAGACCCTGCCCAGCTCCATGGCGGCATGAACTTGGGCGGCGGCGTCTGCCCATCCGTCAAGGAGCAGGACGTCGCCCACAGTGTCACCGCCGAGCATGTGCACTTCGATCTTCCTCCCCGGCTCTCTGTCCTTTCCAGCGCGTTTGCCCTTGGCCTTGCCCTTGCCCTTCCCATCCGCTTGGTTGCCCACTTCCACCGGGCCTCGCTTGATGACGACGCGCCCGAAGACGCACGTGGCGGGATCGCCGGAGAACTCTCGCGGAGACAGAGCGAGCTTGCTGTCCGCCATGGTCAGCGGCAACGCCGGACTGAGATGGAACGGGGGCGCTGGCCACAAGATGCTTGAGCCAAATGCGCTGCGGAAGCTCTGGCACAGGGTCGAGGCTGACAGGGGCCCCCAGCTCTCACTTTCCTCTCCCATCCTTCTCGATCAGTCGAATAATATCGAGACGTGAGGCGCGCGGCTGCGCGTGCGTGCATACTCGAGACGGCACGAATGCACCAGAGCACAACGAAGACGGCTCCCCCGAAAAGACGCTAGTATCCGAATCAGAAAACCATAATAACATGGTGGTGAGCGGGTCCGGCGGAAACCCTCGTGTCAGATGTCACTCGGCGGAATCGACAACCACGAAGGAGCGGAGACCTCGATTAAACGGGACAGGCAACGGATATGACAGTGGCGGGTGGGAGGGCGCGCAGGAGCCCCATTTGCTTTGCCGACTCAAACACTGGATGCACTGGCGAGACACTCAGACCGTGAATACTGCCGTCGGGACAACCCCTCAGGCGAGAGACGTAGCAAAGGGGTCTATGCCGCCGGAAGCAAGACAGCGCGCTGTGCAGGTGGAGAAAAAAGCGTCGGGACAACCCCTCGGCCGAGTAGCGACCTGCGAACAAGCGTTTCCAGATCACTCAATCTCCCGCCAGCAATGGCGAATCCCAGAGAGCCCAAGTGGGAAATCGCCGCAGTAATGCCAGACTCCCCAGTCAGTCTCTCCATCGGACCGATGCGCCACCTTGTGCAGCATTGGCGCGAAGGCGTACTCCCTGGCGGCGGGCGTCACGGTGAGGTCCGCGAGAGCGCGGGCGCTGAACTCCACCTGTAGCAGCACGTGCTTCACCTTTGAGTCAAAAGCGCCACTCCTCTGCTGCACTATGCGAGCGCGCTCCATGGCCTGCGTCGGCGACGTGCGGAAACCAACGCACGGAGTGGACCCCATCAAACGCCGTGGAATCTGCGCCCCGTGCTCAACGGCGGGCTGGTCATCCTTATGCACAGCGACGAACAGAACGAGCACGGTGGTGTCACCCATCTCGAAAGGCATGGCGGGCGAGACGCAGGCGCACCGCGACTGCTTGCTGCTCTGGCAACGAGACCCACACGAATCTTCCCATTTGAGCCCATCACAACGGCGACGGAAACAAACCCATTAGAGCCCATCACAAGCCCATCACACCCCCAGTCTCCGCTGTTCTCTGTTGTTGCCTGTTGTGGTCTGCTGCTCTCTGCTACTCTCTGCTGCGCCCTGCAGGTCTTCGCTGTTGGTTGCTGCATTATGCCGCTCCCTGCTGCTCTGGGCTGTTACCCGGTGCCTGACGTCAAGATACCCCTGGGAGCTCCGGAGGCTCCCAGAAAACACAGAAACGATCGAAACTACCAAACAAGACCTCAACCACAACGGTGTCAGCTGGCCAGCTGCTGGCCTCAACTGGTCTGTCCTGGTCTCTCCCGCTCCCTCCTGCTTCCCGCTGCTCTCTACTGTTCCATGCTGTTGTCTGCTGCTCTCGGTTGATCTCAGCTGCTCTTTCATGCTCTTTGCCGCTCCGCGTTGGTTTTTGCTGGCATTTGCTATTGTATCCGGCTCTCTCCTGGTCTCTGCTGCAGATGCCGTCAGGACAACCCATCGGGCCTGAGGCGTGAAGGAGCGGGGCAGCGAAACAGCGCATGGGTGGCGACGAGAGCGAGAGGATATACAAAAACGCATATGCCGTCGGGACAACCCCTCGGGCAAACGTTTGAAAGGCGAAGTCCACAAGCGGGCGGCAAGGGGGGAGGGGCAGCGAAGGCTCGGCGGCAATGCATTCAGCGAGCGCGCTGCCCGTCGGAACAACTCCTCGGGGCAGCAGCGCGCGAGCGCGCTCAAGACAGCCATCAACGCGCAACCTGCCGGAACAACTCCTCAAGGATGCAGCGGGCTGTCGCCGCGGAGGCAAGCCGTTGGGACAACCCCGCGGGCACCCTCGCACGCGGCTGGCATGCGCCTCACTCGAGCTCGCTCAGGTAGCCGACGCCGCGCCGCTTCTCTCCCAGGTGTGATGCGT